GTGTGGGTAGTTACAACAGTGTATCAACTACCCACACAGCACCCCCACACCTGGGTGTGTAAGTATTGTGGGGGTAGTGAGAGAGGTGTGGTAGGATACAGCTGTGTAGCAACTAACCACACAGCAGACACCCACACCGGGGTGTGTTACATATGTGGGTAGTGAGAGGTGCGGGTAGCTTCAACCAGTGTTATAAAACTACCCACACCGCACCCCCACACTCTGAGGGTGTGTAAATAGTGGGGCTAATGAGGAGAAGTCGTGGGTAGCTACAACAGTGCATAAACTACCCACACAGCACCCCCACACCTGGGTGTGTACATATGTGGGTAGTGAGAGAGGTGGTGTGTACCCACAACACTCTGGTAGCTACCCACACAGCACCCCCACCACCAGGGTGTGTTACATATGTGGGCAGTTGGAGAGATGTGGTTGTGTACACACAACCTCTGGATAGTTCCCACACAGACCCCATACCTGGGTGTGTAATTGTGGGTAGTGAGTGAGAGGTGGTGTGCACCCACAACCTCTGGATGATAGCTAACCACACTGCACCCCACACCTGGGTGTGTACATGTGTGTGGAAATGAGGAAGTGTTGGGTAGTACAACAGTGGCATTAAGACTCCCACACAGCAACCCCACACCTGGGTGTGTACATATGTGGTAGTGAGAGAGGTGGCGTGTGTACCACATACCTCTGGATAGCTTCCAACACAGACACCCCATACCCTGGGTGTGCTACATATGTGGGCAGTGAGAGAGGTGGTGTGTACCCACAAATCTGGATAGCACACACAGCACCCCATACCTGGGTGGTGTACATATGTGGTGGGGTTGTGAGAGAGGTGGTGTGCACCCACAACCTCTGGATAGCTACCCACACAGCACCCCCACACCTGGGTGTGTACATATGTGGGCAGTGAGAGAGGTGGTGTGTACCCACAACCTCTGGATAGCTACCCACACAGCACCCCCACACCTGGGTGTGTACATATGTGGGTAGTGAGAGAGGTGGTGTGTACCCACAACCTCTGGATAGCTACCCACACACCTGGGTGTGTACATATGCGTGGTAGTGAGAGAGAGTGGTGATGTACACTACCTTGGACAGCTACCCCACACAGCGCCCCCACACCTGGGTTGTGTGCTTATGTGGGTAGTGAGAGAGGTTTGGATAGCTACAACAGTGCATAAACTACCCACACCAGCACCCCCACACCTGGGTGTGTACATATTGCGGGGAGTGAGAGAGGGTGGTGGGTACCAACAACCTATGGACAGACAGCTACCTACACAGCACCCCCCCCCTGGCTGTGTAATTTGCGGGTAGTGAGAGAATGGTGTGTACCACAACATCTGGAAAGCTAACTACAAAAAACCCTACACCTGCTGCATGTACATTTCGCGAGGGGGTAGTGAGAGTTGGTGTGTACCCACAACCTCTGGTACAGCTACCTAACAGAAACCACACAACTGGCTGGCGTACATATGGGGTTTAGTGAGTGTGGTGGTGTGTACCCATCAACCTCTGGACAGCTTTCCTAACACAGCACCCCCACACCTGGATGTGTACATATGAAGGTAGTGAGGAGGTGGTGTGTACCCAAACTGCCGGACAGTACCTACACAGCACCCCCACACCTGGCTGTGTACATAATATGTGGGTAGTGAGAGATGGTTGTGTACCTCAAACTCTGGAACAGCTTACTACACAACACCCCTACTACCTGGTGTGTACTTATGCGGGTAGTGAGAGTTGGTGTGTACCCACAACCTATGCGTCTGCTTCATCACACGCACCAACACTCATGGATGTGTGATGTTGTCGGGTTTTGGGAGAGAGGGGTGTACTGCTATCCCAACACTTCATATGGACAGCTTACCTTCGCAGCACACCTACTCTGGATGTGTAAATATGCGGGTAGTGTGAAGAGGGGGTGGGTCCAACTAACCTGTGGTAACTGCTTCATAACAGCACACCTCAACGGGCGTGTTATATGCGGGTAGTGAGAGAGATGGGGTGTACCCACAACCTCTGGACAGCTACACATGGTACCTTCACCCAGTGTGTACCGCTAAACATAGATAATAGAACACAGTTAGAGAAGAAACAAAAGTTATCTTAATATTAGAGCTAAAGATAAGCCGCTTGATTTTGTAAATCAACAATAACCATTAAATGGCCTATTTTCTGATATAACTATATATCCTATGATACCTTTTGTATAGATACCTTTTGTATAGATATTTGAGGCGAGGGTGGGTCACGCCCATCCTTATGTTGTCACGTGACAGTGTCACTGACGTCATACGTGACATCTTCATCACGCGTTAACACCGAAGACGTAATTGCTTCCACGCGTGAGGTTTATAACGAGCTGTGCTGCATAAATCACATGTATATACTTGACGTATTACTACTACCCACAACGTCACCTGATGGTGGCTTTATAAGGTTTAAAGCCTATCGACTACACGAGGGTCATTAAGGCTGCATGTCACCTGTACACCACCAGTCAAGAATACTTTAATACCTAAAGATGGGCATTGAAGTAATCTTATCGTATATACACACACACTAAGAGATGCCTACCCCTCGGTGTATATACCCTCTTATCACCTGAAGGATTATACCTCCCTAACAGTAACCAAGGGAGTGTAAAATACTGAGTGGGTCGGTTATACGAAGTCTTCAGAGATCACCTCAATATTCTGTATTGAGGGAATCCTTACACTGTCTATCTTAGTAAAATAGTGCATTTGCTAACTATCTACCTGCTAAACACCTACATATGCTGCGTATCCACATTATAGTCCAACTTCATGAAGACTAATCACCTTTGGCTGTCCACCCGTTCTCGACGTGTGTCGAGTACACGGGTGTCGAGTCTACCCTGAGGTGTTCTCTCTGGGGGATGTTGGGGGAGGCTTGAAGAAGGTTCAACCAAATATCTATTCTATTTGGATGGGATGTTACCTGACTATTTCCCCTACCACACACCACCCAACTCTTACAAACATTATATATATATATATATAAATATATAATATATATATATTATATATATATATATAAATTATATATATATATATATATATATATATATATATATATATATATATGTCCAGAAAGTCCCTTTCCGATTTCCCGAATTTCTTACAGTATGGTAAAACATTTGGAATGGAGTTTTTCTATACATACGATAGCATAATTATCTTAACATCGAATTCCTGACAGATGGCTTGAGTGTGATGCCCCTCGCTCTTGTAACACGGCCATATTGTCCTTGTATGGCGCTGTGGTGCTTCACTTTTTTCACAAGACACTGCGTGCAACAATAAACGATGGTGTCTGTAGAGTTTCACTGGATATGTTGGCCATTGTCTGGAATGACCTGGAGTGTTGATTGTATTAGGGGCCACCAGAGGTGCACCTGTTAAGTTTAGATATATATAAACTCTCTTATCTCAGCTATCACCTTCAGAAAACTGCATTCACATATAAATTGCCATTTTGTTTAAAAACTGAAATTGAAATAATGGACTTCGTGGACACATTGTGTGTGTGTGTGTGTGTGTGTGTGTATATATATATTATAAATATATATCAATAACAACACTGCGACTAGCCTGGGGATCGAACCCGTGTTGTTTTAGCCAGCCTCATGGTAAGCGAAAATTCACGACGCTCTAACCCACTGGACCATAGGTAGGACTGGATAATCCAGTGGGTTAGAGCGTCGTGGATTTTCGCTCACCATGAGGCTGGGTAAAAACAACATGGGTTCGATCCCCAGGCTAGCCGCAGTGTTGTTATTAATTAAATACCACTTTTTTCAGGGTTTAATTTTTATATATATATATATTATAATATATATATATATATATATATATATATATAATAATTTTATATATAATAAAATTACTATATATATATATATATTTGTTGTGTATGTGTGTGTATATCTTAACGTGTCGTGAGCAACATTTCCAATCACTTGCACAAATGTCTCTTGACTCACAGGCATAGGATTGCACTTACAGTTTAGTTACTACATATCTTCATTACTTTTATGTGCCAACCTATCCTTATAGTGTTCACTCGGAGACACGTTATCCTCGTACAGTCGTTAATGGTCAACTTTTGAGACCAGTTACCTCTTCCAGAAGGTTAAAATAAGAATAAGAACGTATATAATACATGATAGAATGCAATTGAAATGGTCAATCATCTCAATAGTTCCTATTCGGGAGCAATGCTACGTTTATGTTCCGTAACTCGGATGGTCTTGTGTACTAAGTTGGTCCTCTAGTGAGGACAAGTTTAGCAAACAGCTTACTGGTGGAGGTGCAGGAATGATGGTGGGTGTTGTAGCTTGCACCTCCTGGTAGTGCTCATACGTAGTACTGGCCTGACCTGCGTGACGGAGAAGGGGCGGCGGAACTACGGGAACACTGGCGGCCACAGCGTCAGAAGTGGTAGGGCGGGTAGTGCGGGTATTGCACAGGCCGAGTCGGGTCATCGGGCCGCGGCGGGTACGGCTGATAAGCGCGGTACTCGGGTCGCAAGCCAGGGTACTCCGGCAGCGGGTAGTAGTGCGGGTACACCTGCGGGTGCGGCGGCTGGGCCAAGGAAGCAGCGGAGGGATACAGAGGGTCTTGGGGAAGTGCCGCAGGCGGCGAGTAAAGAGCAGGATGGTGAGGTTCGGTTGCTGCTGCGGTCGAGTACAAGGGTGCTGCCTCTCCTCCCGTGAAGACCACGGGCGTGGGAGGACCACCACTTTCCCCATAGTCAGAACCAGGACCCAAAGCAGGAGGTGCTTCCTGCTGTGGTCCCTGGGTCTGTACATCAGTCTGTTGCTGCTGTGGCTGCTGATGTTGCAAATCATGCTGAGACTGCGGCGTCTGCTGTGGTTGAGTGTGTTCTTCCTCCGACGGGCACTTAGACCGGTGCGGGTCTGGTGCTCCGTCGGCGCTGTGGCGGCTAGTGTTCCCTTCATCTAGTCAATATTGTTCCGATGGAGGTCCTGGAGTGAGCTGCTGCTGTTGTTGCTGCTGCTGCTGCTGCTGTTGAGGCTGCTGCTGTGGTGGTGGTGGTGGTGTGTGTTGTGTTGCCTGCTGCTGCGACTGCTGCAGCGGCTGCTGTTGGTTCTGAGACGTCTGCTGTGCATCTGCAGGATAATGTTCTATCGTCATCTCCTGATGTAAGAAATCTTGATGAGGCAAACCATCCTCATATTTACCTCGCTTAAAGCGCCCGTACAACGAAGAGTAAGGCAGATTAAAGTGTATAGCAGCCTGGTTGATGGACATCTCGCCTACCCGTACGGCTTCTAAGGCATCCTTCATGTCTTCTTCTGACCATGGCACACCCTGAGGAATAAACAAAGTGCCACATCTCACTAACAAAGTCTGAAACCATAAATTCATTTCTCACTATCAGAGCTAGAGGCAAAATTTATTTCTCACTATCAAAGTTAGAGACCAAAAAATCACTTCTCACTATCAGAGTTTGAAACCAAAAATCAAGTTCTCACTATCAAAGTTAGAAATTAAAAATATATTTCTCACTATCAAAGTTAGAAACCAAAAACAATTTATTTGTGAATGTATTTTGGTCAGTGTGACTACAAGAGAAAGATACAAACTTAGAGAGGGACATATAGAGCAAAACAGCACAATGTTTCGCCCAAATAGAGCGAAACAATATCTTAAATACAGCTCTCTCTTCTAATTTCCTTCGTACATATTTCCTAACCTGATCCTCAGTCAGTTACCGAACTCTGTGTATGTTTTTTTTATTGTGAGTTACAGCAGGTGAGATGATCAAATATTTACAACACAAGTTGATTAAAGAGTCACACGTCTGGCAGCGCGGTGTCCGGGCAAGCCAAGACAACGTTGAACATTAAAATGGTATAAAATACCGACAGGTTGTTAGGTAAGACACATATGCAACAGTTAGGTATCTTTATTGTGAAACGTTTCGCCTACACAGTAGGCTTCTTCAGTCAAGTACAGAAAAGTTGATAGGAGCAGAAGATACTTGAAGACGATGTAATCAGTCCATCACCCTTAAAGTTTTGAGGTGGTCAGTCCCTCAGTCTGGAGAAGAGCATTGTTCCATAGTATGAAACAATATGGAGAAAGAAGTATTATGTATGTATAATGTTGGCCAAGACCGTAGTCCGGGCACGGGTCCCCAATCTTGCGATGACCCGTCTCTGGCTCCCGAGGGAGAAAGGTTTCTACAATGATGCGACGTATGCTGTTCAAGCACTCTTCTGGTCGGGTTCAACTGGTGCACCCTCTAAGCGAAAAAACACCGTATGTACTCCTAACTCTGGCCCACTAGCGAGGGGAGGATATGTCGTTATCACAGGTAACAGCTTATCTGGTTCGTTGACTCCATGGTACCCCTAGTGTGGCCGCCATATTTTCTGGGTCCTCTTCGGGAGGGAATATCACTCCTAGTTGCCTGCGGAGCGTCTCAGTAACTTAGCACTCCAGAAGATAGTTGGTGTTAGGGGCCGCTGGACAACGTGCTGACAGTACTGGCACATCTCCTCCCCCCAGCCTTGTCTACCATCATCTTGGCTGTGGGAAAGCCCAAACGAAGCCGATGGATGGCGGTAACACTGCGCTCTGGACCAGCTTCTATCATGTGGAGGGGGTTCTCCCTGAGTCGCTGCTCGGTCCCCACTGTTGAATGGGGTATCACCTAAGACATCCCCCATAAGTTTCATGGCTCTGGCAGCCACCCAGTTTGGTCTGTCGTAGGCTGATTGGGACAGTAATCCCAACATGTGGATAGTCTGTTGCTGCCTTGGCTGCATCACTGCCGCCTCATTTCCCCGGATGCCAGCATGGCTGGGGATCCAGTTCAATGTCGATCTGTTCCCCCCTGAACTTCTAAGGCTGTCATTATGCTCAGGATCGATGTGATGAGGGAACATTGTCCTGTGGTTGAGGAAGGGAGAGGGCATTGATTGCAGACGTGGAATCAACATGTATGACAGGTGGGAGTCGATTTTCGAGGGCATGTGACAATGCCTGCTGAATCGCCCCCAAAACTCAGCTTGAAGGATCGTGCAGTGGTCAGGGATTCGCCAGCCTTGTGTGTGACCATTGTGGTACAGTCCAGCTGCTGCTCTCTTCCTGTCAGGGTCGACAGAACCATCTGTGAAATAACACTGCACATGGCCTCCGCTGCCAGTGCCATGCTTGTCTCGCATGATTGCTGAGAGAGTCTTGATTTGGAAAGGGAGGCGCGGATCTGGGCGCCGGGGAGGTGGTGGATGTACCCAGCAACGGAAGGTCACAACTCTTCTCAAGGAGTAGTTGTATAGGCAGCAGCTTCCGCCCAGCAGCACAAAAACGAACGAATCCAGGAGTAGTCCGTGAAGGTGTGGGATCTTGTGACATGGTTGTCAATATCCGTCTCCTTAGTGGGGTACCTTGTGCCTGTGCAGAATCGAGGCCACTTTGCAGGCGTTTATGTATCTTACTCTGTCAGCCAAGGAAGGAAGCCGGGCCTCAGATCTGGACATAAATGTGTTGGTCCAGATTGGGGGGCCCAAGCATAGTTTTATCGCCTGATTTTGTACGACCTCCACTCTTTGCCTGCTCTGCGGGAAGAGATGAGCTAAAGCCGGTGCAAAACCCTAGTCAATGAGCGGCGTATAGCTTGTATATAGTACAAGCGAAGTACATCTTTGCTTGCCCCTGCACGGTGCCTCGTCTCAGGCGTTGAGTCCCGAGTAGAGCACGTGACCTGACATACTCCGGCCTGGTTTCTGGAAAAGGTCCAGCTTTTTATCAATGTAGATTCCCAAGTACAGGTAGGAGCCTGTCCCATCAAGTTCTATATCCTGAATACGTAATCTATTTCCCAGGATCTGGGTCCCTTTAACATCATTGCAAGAGATTTCTTTGCCGAGATCTTGAGGCTAGTTCCTTGCAAGACTGCGTAAAATTTGGTCCAAAGCTCTCTGAGCCTGTTTGTTCTAAAATTTTCCTTTCCCATTCACTACGAGTGCAAGATCATCAGCATAGCGAGGAGCTGTGTACCACTATGAAAGGGAAGGCTCACAAGTTCCTGCATAAGGATTTTAAAAGGGTAGGACTGAGCACACCTCCTTGTGGTGTACCGTTTTCCAGGGATTTAAGGAAGAGTAGTGTCCCTGAAAGCTGACACAGGCCTGCCTGCCCCTAAGGTAGGACTCCATCCAGGCCCGGAGGCGTCCTTTGATTCCCTTCCGAGCTAAATATTGCCAGAATTGCTGTGGGGCTGGCTAGCTCAAATGCCTTTTCAAGGTCGAGGTAGACGACAATACTAGGTTTTTTGTTCTGTCAGCAATCTGGCTTAGTAGAGTGGTTATGCACTCTGCTGTACCCACTCCTTTGGTGAAGCCAAATATGTGATGGGTGAAGGGGCAAGTTTCCTAGGAGGCGGTTTAAACACCATCCTCTCAGCAGTCTTGGCTAAGCAGCGGTCAGCGATATGGGTCTCATACTGCCTGGGTCCTTGGGCTTTGGAATTGGTTTCAATTGTAGCTTTTCCAAGCTGCTGGGGGTCCTGGCCCTCCACGACTTGTTAATGACGTCTAGTATGGCCTCCCATCCCCTCTGCCCCAGCCCCTGCAATCATGGAGTACGTCACAAACCCTCGATGCCCCGGGGGAGTGTCACCTGTGTTCTTAATGGCACGTCGGAGTTCCAAGTCCGTGAGGTTACATCAGTCACATCTTCCGACTCACATGGGAGCTTGTATCGTTAGCTGGCGCTGTGGCAGAAGATCCCTCTTATATTCCGGATGTCCTGTGGGAGCTGAGTGGAGGCTCCCCTGGAAGTGAAAAGCTCCATAGTTTCTCTGCTTCCTGGGATGGGTTCGGGGTGTGCTGGTGGCCGGCTTGCTCTTGCCAGTTGCTATTTGAGTTGCCCCATATCTCAGATAAGGTGGTGTGATGCCCGAATGTTGAGCACCACTCTAGCCATTCTCAGTTTTTACTCTGAGGAGATTCTGCGGGCATGCTGCCAATGGCTCTCAGAGTATTCCTGTTCTCTGCCGTAGGGTTAACGCCTGTATAGCTTCCTAAAGAGTTGATCGGTGGTTCTGCCCCGCACCTCGTCGTTGTTGAACCACCAGTTCTCTCTTGTGAGCGTTCCTGCAGACTTCTTTGGAATTGCGCACTCTGCTGCCTGGGTGAGAACAGTGATTAGCTCCTGTTCAAACCGTATCACAGTCTTCAGATAGAGAGTATGTGGGGCCACCCTCATGAAGATAATCCTGGGAACACCTTCCAGTTGGCCCTCCTTTACGTTCCCCTCTAGGAGGCAGCACAACTGGGGAGGCCTGTTGAGGTGAAGGAGGTGATCAATGCAAAGTGGTCACTGACAGGTGAGGATGGGTTTCCCATGTGGCTCCTGCTGCAGTTGTCTTGACCGAAGGTAAGGTCGAGGCAGGGCCCCCCAACAGGTGGGGTGGGGTCTCCATTTTTTAGCAAACTTTTCCTCTGGAATATCGTGTAGGAGCATTGCTATGTGTCTGCCAGCAGCATTGGTTGCTGAGTGAGAGTGCAGCATTGGGTGATGAGGGACCTGACTTCTCAACATCTGAGTTCTTACCTCTCCTAGGGCCTACGGGCCAAATCTTGGCGCTATAAAAAGGGTCCCTCCCTGTCACTTCTTCCTCCATATTGTTTCATACTATGGAACAATGCTCTTCTCCAGACTGAGGGACTGACCACCTCAAAACTTTAAGGGTGATGGACTGATTACATCGTCTTCAAGTATCTTCTGCTTCTATCAACTTTTCTGTACTTGACTGAAGAAGCCTACTGTGTAGGCGAAACGTTTCACAATAAAGATACCTAACTGTTGCATATGTGTCTTACCTACCAAGACAACGTTAGTTTATGAACCTCTGGTGTCAGGATGAGTTCAATACCACTATTGCCTTCATTTCCTACAACCACTATTTTCAGCAACCACTATTCTCTACAACCACTATTCTCTACAACCACTATTTCCTACAACAATTATTCCATACAACCATTATTCCCTAAAACCACAATTCCAAGCACTGTACTTACAGGTCCAGGCACTGAAACCACAGGTCCAGATACTGTAATCACAGGTCCAGGCACTGAAACCACAGGTCCAGATACTGTAATCATAGGTCCAGGTACTGAAACCACAGCTCCAGGTACTGAAACCACAGGTCCAGGTACTGAAACCACAGGCCCAGGCACTGAAACCACAGGTCCAGGTACTGAAACCACAGGCTCAGGCACTGAAACCACAGGTCCAGGTACTGAAACCACAGGTCCATGCACTGAAACCACAGGCTCAGGCACTGAAACCACAGGTAC